TCCTAAATGAAAGTAAACTGTAACAGTCATATTTGGGCATGATGGACATTGAAAAATTCATTATTAGACTCGGAACCATTACTAAAACTATATTAAGATAGACAGGACACATACCATATATGAATACAACAAGGAAGAATTCCAGAAAGAGACCAAATAGCATACAATAATGGATACAGTTACACGGACTTTGGTAAATCGTATAAGAAAGTTATTAAAACACGTAAGTTATCCACTGAGACGCCTTCCACCAAGGAGAATAAAATATGGTCAAAGTTCACATATTTTGGCGATGATATTAGAACCATCACTAAAATATTAGGGGAGGGAAGGATTTTTTGTGATATTGATAAGCCTAGGAAATGTTTATATTGTTCTGGACCCAAATCATGAGGTCTGGCAACTTGATTAATATAGAGACATTGGAATGTGTAGTAATTAACATTCCATGTTTGTCATCCAATACAAAGATGTTATTTGACATATCATTGTTAAATCTGGAACATGTCGTAGCCATTTGATGTTAGTTTTGTCGCATATGCAGGTGGCATTCCATCATAAAACTGCAGCAAATTATCTTTGTCCTACATGATGACAGTTCTACAAACCTGTGGAAAACATCCTTCTTAGCATCGTGTGTATTTTTTAAGAAACATCCAATTTCAGATGTTTGTTAATATTGCAGTTAGGATGTGCAGTAGCTAGAATCTGGAACCACCATGTTTGTTAACCATGCAGCTGGCTTCATTTGCCATGGAGAACTTTTCCATTCACATATACACACATCAAAGAGGATTATTCCTACCAGCATCTGTGCAAATAATCTTGCTGAACATCTGCCTGACTCTTGTGCCCTGCGTAATGTACTATTCACTGTATGTGGAAGACTGCAGTCAGGAAGAATTAGTGCAGTTTAATCATTTGTTGAAATGATAAAATATTTTATGGATTAGTGAGCTTTAACTCAATTTAACATTTGTGTAGCAAATTGAAAGAGCTGGGATGGCTCAGTCAGAATAGTGACTGGGTGCAGGCTGGATGACTGGGGTTCGATCCCCGAAGTGGCCAGAGAATCTTTCCTCCAGCATCTGCCTTCATACAGGCTCAGGGGCCCACCCCGTCACATGTACAATTGGTACCAGGGTCCTTTCCCAAGGGATAAAGTTCGGCTGGGGCGTGATGCTTACCTCTCACCCCCTACTAGAGCCGATGTCAAAAGTAGGAGCTATACCACCTCTCCCCCCAACATGCCGTGTAGCAGAGGACTGATTTACTTTTACGTATGTTCCTGGTAGGGCCACCCATGCCGGTAAGGTCTGAGGAGAAGAGGGAAGCAAAGCCTGTTGGCCAAAGGAGGCAGCCCCTCCACCAGGCTTGGGCAGCTGAGCGGCTCATAACCCACACTGCCTTAAATCTCTAATATGAAAGAAACTGATATAAAACAATGCCGGCCTGATTCTCCATTGATGACCCTAAGGAAAAAGAAAGTAAAAAAAAATCAGTTCTATGTTCCCAAGAGGATAAAAGCAATTAACTAGAAACTAACTAACTATGGTACAAGTTTACTGAGATTTCAGATGTGCTTATCGCTTCCATTGTCAGGGTGACATCTACCCAACTACACACAGCAGCAACCCAGAAGAAAAGGATATTCTTACTTGCCACCATGAGAACTTGAAATTTCACTAACTCTTTTGCCAATAGATAGAATTGTTACCTGTCTCCAGTTAGCATGATGGGTAATGTCCAAGAAGTTCCATTATTTTAATAAGATACCATTGCTCTGTATTGGTGTGAAGCATAAATTGGAAGATTCAAAAAACAAAGTAGTCACAGAAATATTTGTACATAAGAAGACAGATTATGAGAGTAACCAACTTTGTAATTATGCATTTCATTTACTGTTTTCAATATAGAAAAATAAACAAGTTTGTGACAGTCTTGTAATGTAACTTGATTGTTGGAAACAAGAAATATGACATAATTCTGTTGAAGAAACCTTACCAGTTCAAAAAGGAAATGTGAGGATAGCATAAGAGGATATTTTACAGAAGTAGCTTTTTGGGTGATACATATTTAATTAGATTGTGTAAGGTCCAACAGCCCTTTCTTCTATCTTCTTTCCTTAATCTATTTCCAGGGGGTCTTAGAATTTATTACTTTAATCTGTTGGTTAATTATAAGCTAGGGTCGTGCTTTAGTTCAGGCCATTAATCTCCATCTTCCTACTGCACAGACTTGAGATTGTTGCCTATCTTGGTATTTCCTGAAGGCATATTGTAACGCATAGTTAAAGAACATTGGAGACAAAGTATCTCCTTGTTTTAGACAGGTTTAGTTGTGAAACAAAATATTTTACTTTTATGGTTCTGTGTTATGGGCAGGAAGAGTTCAAGAAAAACAAACTTGGCAGTAGTGTGGAATTTTAAGGTTATCTTCAAGATATTTAACATAGAGAAAGCTTAATTGAATTGTGATAGTAATAACAGATTTGTAGGAATAGCAGTGTGTAACAGGAAATCTTGTAGAAATTTACTGACATTTCAGAAATGCTTACAGCATTAAGCACCTAGGGTTACTGACATTTCAGAGGTGCTTACTGCCATCATCTGATAATGGAGGCAGTACAGATGAAACGTCAAACAGTATCTATCAGACTACATGGTGCAACATCCCAAAAAACAGCCATCTTCATACTTGTCATTGTGAGAAGTTGAAATCTCACCATGGACAGAACAATGCTTGTTGGCAATTATGTCACATATTAAAAGTTTCTCGTCATCAGCAGACAGGCGGATAAAATTATCTTAGGGTAGCTAATAAGCCTTTGAAAGGGTTACAAAGTTCAAATATCTGGGAACAACAATAACAAATCAAAATGACACTCATGAGGAAGTTAGGAGGAGATTAAATTCTGGAAATGTTTGCTACTTCTCAGTTCAAAATATTTTGTCTGATTTCTAAGAACCTGAAAATTAAAGTATTCAAAACAATAATCTTGCCTGTTGTTTTGTATGGGTGCGAAATATGGTCTCTCACTCAGAGGGAGGAACATAGATTCCAGGGGTTTGAGAATAGGGTGTTGAGGAGGATATTTGGGCCTAAGAGGGAAGATGATGGGACATGGAGAAAACTGCATAATGATGAGCTTAAAAATCTGTACTCCTCCCCTAGTATTGTCAGGGTGATTAAGTAGAGAAGAATGAGATGGGCTGGGCATGTAGCGCACATGGATGGTACAAGAGGTGTGCACTGGGTATTGGTCGGGAAACCTGAGGGGAAGAGACCATTGGGGAGACCTAGACGTAGATGGGAGGATAATCTCAGGCGGGATCTATGGGAGATAGGAATTGAAGGAAACTGGATTTTGTTGGCCCAGGACAGGGTCCGGTGGAGGGCTTTGGTTAATTCGGTGACGAACCTTTGGGTTCGGTAAGCCATCTAGTTAGTTAGTTAGTTTTCATTGGATTTTGTGGACACAATTGAATGACAAGTAATTGACAAACAAAATTGTATACAAACATGCCCTACAATGTGAAGGATGTGTATTATACATATTATCTTGAGGATGATTCAATATGAAATGGTGATACTTAGCTTGCAGTATGTACTGCCACCGGCAGATCGGTATATAAGTGTGAAGTCTTTATAAAGATCCTGAAGACAAGAACAGATGAGACACCAGTGAAAATTCAATGGTCATTGTTAGCATTCGATTCTACTAAGAAAGTTCTTTCTCCAGCGAGGCAATTAATCCCCCCCCCCCGTGCAATACAGATACTATTAGTGTGCAGATTGAAACAGTGCGTCTGAATGGCTAGTCAACAATTGAAGTGTTGGAGTCACTCCTTGGTATGGTTTGTAAGGTGACTGAGGAGGTTGTTTATTTAAAGAAGGGCAATGTTGAGCTCAAGGGTCAAGTTAATGACCTCCAGGTCTAGTTGCTGGCTCTATAAAGCCCTCTGGAAATGAGAGGCATAATAACCAATTTGACACTAGGTCACTGTCTTTGCAGCCCAAGTCACATTAAGATGCTGTAGTCAGCTGATTGCAGCACCTGAATTCCATCACTATGGTGTCAGGAGAAAATGTCATCTTTGAAGTTGACATCAGAGAATAATGCTGATGGTATCTCAAATCTAAAAGTTTATGATGATGGTGCATTATTTAAATAAAAAGTTTTTTGGATGTTTTCCATCGTCTAATAAAATAATAAAATTGAACAACGTTAAACTATTTGAACGTCAACATTTCCTATTTTATTGAATTACTTTCACTGTCAGTTTTTTGGGTTTCTTAGTTTTCTGGACTTTGGTTTTACATTTCTTCCATCATAAGCACCTAACTTTTATATTTGTTACATAATTGTTTTGGAGAATGTTTTTTTTACGTCCCACTGATGTATGTTTTGGTAATCCGCTTATATTCTGGGACTTTCACTTTTTGCCTTGTCTGGAGAGAGGAATTAGCTCTATCAATTGGGCCCAACAGAGTAGGTTACCTGAAGACGTAGATAGACTTCCATCTCCGAAACATCGTTCAACTTTATTATTTTAATAAATGATGGAAAACATCAAAAAAAAACTTTTTATTTAAATGCTGATGGTGCTTACTGGACACAGTCAGTGTCCAGATCAGAAATATTAAGTTCACTTACACTTTATTTGGCTGCATTATATATGTACCTGCTCAAACACACTAATGAAACATGTAGTAAATGAACACAGGTGTTAGATCCTATGAAACAGAAAAAGATCTCCCAGCAAAATTATCTAAATACTTACAAGTTACAGGCATCATTAATCAAATCTTTAAACCCTCTAAAACCCCAACACAAACTAAATTGAAAACATATAAAACCTTGGCCATAACCTGGATAATGAAACAACGTGACAAATCAAGAATTGCAGCAGCAGAGATGAAGTTTTTAAGAAGAACAGCCAAATAAACATGGATATATCATTAAAGAAATTACGTCATCCACAAAGAACTACAAACAGAGCCAATATTGGAAAAAATCCACAGATACAGAAGGAACTGGATCCAACATGTATGAAGAATAGACAAGGACAGATTGCTACATCAAATTTTGAAACATAAACCAATAGGAAAAAGAAACAAAGGACCCCCTTTAAAAAGATTCCTGGATGACTGAGGCCGGAACGGGTCACAAGGCTCAAAATCCTTGACAGCTAGATGATGATGACGATAATGAAGTGTTAGATTTACATGTTACTTTAACCAGGAACTTCCAATTTTAGCAGAAAAAGGTAAACCTTAAATTAATTTTGGTACTGCTGAAGATGTGTAACACTAAAATCCTAGTAACAACATGTATCTATGTCAAATAAATAAAGACAGTGGTTTTTGTTTGTTTCTACAAAACTGCACAAGTCATGAGGAACAGCACATGCAGAACAGATACTGCAAACAGTTTCATCTTGACAAATGAGGATGCAGTCGTTCTAATACTAAAAAGTAAAGCAGTCCCACTACATGACATGTTGGTTGTTTGGGAGGAGAGGAGATGTAACTCCTACTCATTCTTAATCTCAGCACTAGATGGGAGAGAACGGTCAGCATCACGCCCCAGCCATGCTTTACCCCTGGGAAAGACCCCGGTACCCATTGGATAGGAGGTTGGATGGGTCCCAGAGCCAGTCTGGATGCCCTGTCAGGGATCGAACCCCAGTCATCCAGCCTGTAGCTAGTCACTATACTGTCTGAGCTATACTGGCTCTCTCATTATAAATACCAAGAAGGTTTAATAGAAGTCCATGAAAGGAAAGGGTGATTACCAGAAACCAGCCCCTCGATGAGGGGGGCAGGGGTTGATATATGAAACTGGAGACTACAGATTTCTACAGGCAGGTCTGGCATGGCCTAATTCTGAGTCCTCTGTTAACTGGAATTGTAGAAGAAATAGAAAAGATCTCTCTGACTGACTTCAAGCCAGGATATCACTTCCAATCTTGCTCTTCAGTAGCTAGCAACCTCTGGAAATATCTCAGTTGTGTTTATTGATGTGAACAAATGAATAAAGATGAAGAGGACAAAGTTTTGGAATAAGTTACTCTCCCTGAGAATTTAAGAAGCTGAGTGATGTTATTTCTTGGAACACATGGCTGACAAATTATTTCCACATTACCTTCTGCATGACTTTTAACTGAAATGTTCTGTGTTCATAATTATGACAACTTTGACCTTAATACCACATAAAGGTATTAATATTTTTGTTGTAAGAAGTCCACTTGTGCTAGAATACTCTGAATGTAACTGAAATACTGAGTGTCATGGGACTCCCTCCATATATAAATCACACAAAACTTGCAGTGGCCCTGTATATCCAGGACTATTCAGATTGACTTAAATTGACACTACTTTTAATTGAGAAATCTTTTAATATCAGTTTAATTTCTGTTGTCATGATTTTCATGCATCCCTGTGGGTGTTTATCAGTAAGACATAGCCTAGTTATTATATGATGTCATGGTCACAGTAATAGTTATACTGCCAAATAATGACATCACCAAATCACATTTTCTGATATCATGTATACTATTTTTATCATATGGAGTGACACAGTATTAAAAAATGTATGTGAGCCACATGTGGCAAAGGGTCTGTGGTTTGAGAAACTGTCTTAATGCTACCATAGAGAAACAATTTCCTTACTTGATACATTCACAATAACTTTAAATTTAACAAACACATTCCACGAAGCCTTAACCATTGAGAACAATTTTCTAGATGTCACTTCCCTTTCAGTAAATATACCTCCTGCATCATACACTGCTTTATCATATTTACAATTGTTTTTAAAACTAACATAAATAAATTTATTTATAGTGTTTAAAAATAATGTTGCCTTGTTTATTCAATCTGTCACACAGATTTCACAGCAACCTCACAGCAATGAAATGGAAACAGATAGTATATGGTATGAAACTTTGTTGCCCTCAGTGGACTAGTGGTTAGAGTGCTTGCCTCTGGACCCAGGGTTTGCAGGTTCAAACCCAGCCAAGGTTGATGGATTTTTAGGGTGATATACATATGAATAAGATTAAGATAATGATGCACAAAACAAGTTTTGCAACAGTAGTCTAACCTCTAATTTTGCTGTAAGCCTTGAATCTTTCTCAGTGAAATCAAGTGTCTACATTCAATGTTTAATGTCAGGCATTTCAAGAGTCTCAGGCAGAGTTCTGTACTGCTACCTACAACTCTTCATGGTTCCTTTGTAATTTCAACACACTACACAAAGTCTAGCGCAATATTCAAGAATTTACTAGTATGTATTGCTTTTCAAGAAACACAAGCTGGTAGATAAGACTAGGTACATAACAAGTGTAAGTATTCACATATAAAGCAGCTCATGCCTATGCAAACAGTAGTGCTACTGTTTGAATGGTGTCTAGGAGGATAATATTAAAATGAGAGTAGTAGACATTCCGCGTGTTAATGTAACGTACCTTCTCACACTCAAAACAAAGTGTACATGGGAAATACCTTATTTTTAAAAATGCCTCCACTGATGCTATGCCCATATCATGATAGGGAAATTAAACAGCTCCGAAACATTAACAACTTGCGAGATTGTTTGCATAGGAAAATCTTGTAGTAGGATATCGGTATTAGTTCTTCATGAAAATGAACTGTACAAAACCTCACTCCAATATCTTCATTAATAATACCACTACGGGATACATATTAATACAAGTAACGGTAATTTGGCTAACATGCTGGGAATTTCTCTTCTAACCCCTTGGCGACCCTGTAAGAAGTGACGAAACAATTGACTTGATCGTTGTAAGGAAAGTTGGTCTGTTTTATTATTTGTAGGAGCAAAAGAATTCGTGATTAAAAAGTAAATTCGTTTGTGAAGACGTATATAAATGATTTTCCGTGTATCAGATGTCAGCTGTGTTGGCATGAGAATGTTTTGAACTTGTCCAATCAGCAGGTAATATACACTATTGAAAATTTGTTTTTAGGTGTGAGTTGTTTAACCTAATTCGCAATACAGCACAAAGCATCAGAAATATATAATTAAATAAAATGGGGAAACATGAAGTAGGCACCCCAAAGTATATTGCTAATAAAATCAAAGCAAAAGGCCTGCAAAAACTAAGGTGGTATTGTCAGATGTGTCAAAAGCAGTGCCGTGATGAGAACGGTTTTAAATGCCATATGATGTCTGAATCTCATCAGCGGCAACTTCTTTTATTTGCCGATAACGCAGATAAATATATTGACGAGTTCTCCCAAGAATTTGAAGATGGCTATTTAGAATTGTTAAAACGTCAGTTTGGAACAAAGCGTGTTCATGCAAATCGTGTGTACCAGGATTATATATCGCAGCGTCACCATTTACATATGAATTCTACACAGTGGGAAACATTGACAGACTTTGTGAAATGGCTTGGAAGGGAAGGGAAGTGTGTGGTGGATGAAAGTGAAAAAGGATGGTATGTACATAAAAATAAGGTGGAACGAAGAAAAGCATCAGCCCTTGATGACATTATTAAATATGAAGAGAGCAAGAAGAAACGTACAAATAGAAACGATTTTTGGTTGGTTCAAGGAATTATTGTGAAAGTGGTAGAGCTATTGTCTCCATGTTGGATAGTAAACAAAAACTGAAACTGGACCAGTTGCACCTACAGACGGTGATACCTGCACTCGGGCGGCCTGTACGCATTGTGAAAGGAGCTTACCGTGGATACAGTGCTACACTTAAGGAATTGGATGAGAGCAAATTCTGTGCAACGATTGAACTTTCATCAGGCCCCTTGAAAGGCAGAATAATTGATAAAGTTGAATATGAAGACATTTGTAAAGTGCACCTTCAGACGGTGATACCGGCACTCGGGCGGCCTGTACTTGTTGTAAATGGAGCTTACCGTGGATACAGTGCTACACTTAAGGAATTGGATGAGAGGAAATTCTGTGTAACGATTGAAATTTCATCAGGCCCCTTGAAAGGCAGAATAATTGATAAAGTTGAATATGAAGACATTTGTAAAGTACATAATGTAGATGTATAAATGCCATAGAGTTTTATGTTACATTAAGTGCAACTTCATAAAAGATGTAAGATTTGAGGTTTTCACAGCAGTGAGTATGACGATTTCTGTCTTCTGGGTTGTTGCAATGTGTAGACTGGTCAATGTTTACAAACATTTCAGAGGTCATACTGCCTCCGTCATCAGGGCGTCATTGCAACAACCCAGAAGACAGAAATCTTCATAAAAGATTTTTAACAGTTTGGAGAAAGTAATAGATGGTGTAATAATATTATTGTATTTGTAGTAATTTTTGGTCTTTGCAGACATTAAATTGCCTTTATAATTAATTATTAATTGAGGACTCTTCTTAAGTTAAGAACACATACATGTTCCTAGAAGGTTTTTCCTTTATAACAGCTTAGAAGTGGGTACTGATCCTCCATGTTGCACACTTGGGTGACGTGTCTGCTACATGAAAAAACTGCTATTTTCCAGTTTTCACAACAAATTTTATGTGCATGTGGATGAGGTCACAATTTTCAGGTAAATGCTTGTGACACGCACAGCTGACATGTATTTTACTGAAGAACAAGAATATGCACGATTCATATTATCAATTTAGAGTTGAAACTGCAATCAGTTTTAGGACCAGCTGATTTATGAGTATTGGAAAGGACACATTGTTAAAATGTGCAAAAAATGCATACTCAGCATAATAAATATTACTAGCTGATCTAAAATCATTTAAACTGACCTCATCCAAAGCTAGCTGAAAATGCTCTTTAATTGGCAAGTTTTGTTGTACCTAAGAAATGTTGAATGATATTGACTTGGGCATCTTGCCTGATGTACAAGGCATGAGTCAGTGTATCAGAACGTTAAATTCACAGTTTTGGGTGATAACACTGCATTGTGTTGGACTGGTTCTGTATTTTAGAGAAAATAGCTGGCCCAATCTTCAAGGCAAACTAGAGTGGCCTGATACCAATATATATATATATATATATAGAGTTCTTGACCGCATGGCATTCAGGAGTGGAGACAGCCAGGTTTTCCAAAAATGGCAAACCACCCCACCACAGTGTATTATTGTCATCCAAGAACAGAAACATTAGTTACAAACAGCTGTAGAAGTCTGAAAATTTTTTGGGTGTGAAGCTGACCACTGTCAGGTTCAAGAATGTGTGAAATTACACTTCACTTCTTGATCTCATGGTTCTTAGTTTAGCCTCAGGAACAACCTTACCTTTACTATATAGCCTGTCTAATGTCATTAGATTATTCTTATTGGCTAAATAGTTGCCATGTATAGCAGAATGCAGGCCACCCAGGTACAGTGCAGGTCTCAAGTTAAGTGCATAGACATTACACATCCATGTTGCTAAATGGGTCTCCATAATTTGGTCCAATATGAACACTATTGTGGCAGGTTGTTATCTCTTATATATAAGATTAGATACAGAGCAAATGTAGCAATTCCACAAGGGACCCCTCTGGCAGCAGAAAACTAGCATTAACCATTCTTTGGCAACTTCTTACCACCAGGATAAGACAGACAACCTAAAACTGTTTGTTTTGTAGCATACTGGACTAACCATGTGATAAAAATTGAACAGTGTGGAAAAGCTGTTACATATAGTGAGTAGGGTAGTGATCATCTAAAAAAAGAATACATTATTATGAAAACAAAATATGAAACTTATATCTAAACATACTGACTTTTTTGTTGTATCCCAACAATGCTCAGATGGGTTAGCAGGGCAAACAGATCCCTTGGGAGGCAGTTCGGGGTGATTGAAGTGCTGCAAGCTGGAAGTTAACTTGAGTATTTATTAGAAACTAATATATTACAAGCTGTCGAGGAACCCAGGAACTGAGATGTGTTGATCTGCCTAAGCAAGGGCAGTGCTGACTTCTAATGAGGGTTGAGTTCTTTCCAGCGTGGAGACTGACTAGACTCAAGTTCAGAGAGTAAACAAGGGTGGTCGTTCACCTTGGTTTTATACAAGATTGGTGATGCCAACTTTCAAGTACTTTCTAAATGTTAACAAAATAATAGTTTTGTAAACCTTGCTTCATCGCGATACTCTGCCACTGTGTATTGGAACTTTGGCTTGTTTAATGTGTCCCATCACTGGTTGACCAAGAGGGATGATTTGGAAATCTATTGGAAACATCCCGTTTTCCCTTAGTAAAGATAACTTGTTTGTAGCCTCTGTTTAAATAGAATTGGGAGAGTACCAATTACAAAATTATTACAGTTGCAGCTTATTTCCTATGGCAATAAAGATACAGGAGAATTATCCTAAGGTTGTATACTTCATTATTTCATATATACATATATATATCAAATTATAATACCAGAATATCCTTATACCATTTTAATATGTACGACACTTTCACAACCTTCTTATAGAAATGAACTGTTTATTCTTTTCAGAAATTCAGCTGTATTAGTTGTGTGTAGTATTTACACTGCCATTAACCACCATAAAAGATTTCCTGTTTGTGATTTTGCTTATGGATTCATAAAAAATAAAATAATGTTTCATAATGGTGCACAAGGTCTTCCCTATTTCTGATAAAGGATGTTAAAAGACTTGCTTGTTTGTCATAAAACTATTCGTAATACATTAAAATAATGTATGTATAGAGGAATTAATAATTGTTTTATCTGTATGTCATAGAACATGAAGAATATTACCAGTGTTCAGGGAATAATATTTGAACCAAATGGGTTTGAAATGAGTGGAGAATTAAGGATATTATATATAATAATAAGCCTTCTCGAAGGTATCACCACCTTGTCGAAGGCAATCTGCCGGGTGAGGAGGCTTGCGTGCTCAAATGACCCTTAGGGCTATGCCGGCCGGAGCTTCGGCTCATGGTAGGGTCACCCAAGCCGGACAGGTCTAAGGAGATGCGCTAGACTAAGAGTGATACCCTGGTCCTCCAGGTTGGGGGTTGGGTGTAGGGCTAACAACCTTTCACCTTTAAAAAAAATATGTGTTACGAAAAAATCAACCAAGCCTCGGATCAGGACGGACTCTTTGGCACGACCACGGCAATTGAAAAAGGACATGAGATTTGGTACCTGGAACATTAGGAGCCTCTATAGGGCTGGGGCACTGAAATCAGTGGGTAGGGAATTAGGGAATTATAAGTTAGACTTAGTGGCAGTGCAGGAAGAGCGATGGGAGGGGGAGGGCCCGATCCCAGTGGACAATTTTACATTTTTCTATGGAAAGGGGAATGACAATCATCAGCTAGGGACGGGTTTTTTTGTTCATAGCAGAATTAGGGCAGCAGTTAAGAGAGTAGAATTTGTTAGTGACAGGTTGTCTTACGTAATTTTGGAAGGACGTTGGTGCGACATCATTGTCCTTAATGTTCATGCCCCAACTGAAGACAAAAGCGATGATATCAAGGATAGCTTTTATGAAGAATTGGAATCAGTATTTGATACATTTGGCAAGTATCACATGAAAATTCTGCTAGGAGATTTCAATGCAAAAATTGGGAGGGAGGATGTCTTCAAACCCACAATAGGCAGCGAGAGTCTCCATGCACTTAGTAATGATAATGGCGTCAGAGCAGTGACCTTCGCTACGTCAAAAGATTTAATTGTAAAAAGTACAAAATTTCCACACCGTGATGTTCATAAATACACTTGGACTTCCCCAGATGGCAGAACACACAATCAAATAGATCATGTTTTAGTAGATAAGAGAAGGCAGACAAATGTAATTGATGTGAGATCATTCAGAGGAGCAGATTGCGACACTGATCATTATCTGGTGGTAGCAAAAGTGAGGGAGCGGCTTTCAGTAAGTAGACGAACTAAACAAAATTTTGACACAGAAAGATTTGATTTGAAAAAATTAAGTGAGGGAGAGGCAAAGGAACAATATCAAGTTGAAATTTCGAATAGGTTTCAAATTTTAGAGACAAATGAGGATAATGAAAGTGTGGACATCAACAGGGAGTGGGAAAATGTCAGAAACTGCATCAAAATTTCAGCAAAAGAGAAACTAGGATACTACAGGAGAAAGCAAAATAAACCGTGGTTTGATGAAGAATGTTCAAAATTAATAGATCGAAGGAAGCAAACAAAATTTCAATGGTTGCAGAACCCAAACAAAACAAATGCGGATAATCTATGTAACGTGAGACGTGAGGCTAGTAGAACCTTTAGGACTAAGAAAAGGGAATACCTGAAGGGCAAAATTGCTGAACTTGAGACAAATAATAAGGAAAAAAACATCAGAGACCTGTACAGAGGCATTAATAACTTTAAGAAAGGATATCAACCCCAGACTAATTTGGTAAAGGATGATAGTGGCAATTTGCTTGCAGATCCAATAAAAATTGTGAATAGGTGGAAAAATTTCTTTAGCGAGCTCTTAAATGTTCATAATACTGGTGATATTAGACAGATTAAAATGCATACAGCTGAACTGTTGGTGCCAGAACCTAGCTTAGATGAAGTGGAACTAGCCATTGGGAAGTTGAAAAGTTATAAATCTCCAGGAATTGATCAGATTCCGGCCGAATTAATTAAAGCAGGTGGCAAAGGGTTGCATATGAGGATCCATAAGCTTATTCAGTTAATTTGGGATAAGGAAGAGATGCCACATCAATGGAAGGAATCCATAATTATTCCTATTTATAAGAAGGGGGACAAGACTGAGTGTGGTAATTACCGAGGAATATCGCTGCTATCAACCTCATACAAAATTCTATCCAACATTCTTTTGGCAAGATTAACCCCATATGCGAATGAAACTATTGGGGATCATCAGTGTGGGTTCAGACGAAACAGATCAACGATTGATCAGATCTTTTGCATTCGTCAGATACTAGAGAAAAAATGGGAGTTCGGTGGGACTGTACATCAGTTATTTATAGATTTCAAAAAAGCCTATGACTCTGTGAAGAGAGAAGTGCTATATAATATTCTTATTGAATTTGGTATACCAAAGAAGCTAGTGGGTCTAATAAAAATGTGCTTAAATGAAACCTGCAGCAAAATTCGAGTAGGTAAATATGTATCTGAGACATTCCTCATCAAGAACGGTCTAAAACAAGGAGATGCTTTG